AGAAGGTAGGAAGAAGTAGGTAGGGAGAAAGAAGGAAATGTCGACTTTCCATAAACCAACCCTTATACCCAAGCCAAGCAGAGGAGGATGACTTTATGCCCATTCAAATCCAATAAGATCTTCTAGTGTTTGTCCAAGGGGAAAAGAAGGTGAAATATTTAGATTCTTATTATGACTTTGAATCTTCTTATGCAAGCAAGGTGCAATGTTTCTTCTCAAGAAGAATAGGTAGCTTAGCAATATTAGAGAGCATATTCATGGTCAAGCCTCTGCCATCATGTCACTTCAAAGAAATTATCCAACATGAAGTGCATAACATCGAAGAGCTCCAAATATTTTATGCACCTCCCTTGCGTGAAAACATCAGGCCAAGAAGCTTATTCTAAAATTTTGGAGATTGTCAAGAAGAGAATTTTTACTCGCTCTTCATGCTCATTGTTTCTAAAGATATAATACATACAAGGATGCCTAAGTATTATCCAAGAAGATTCAAAGGCTGATGCAAAAACAAGGAGTTCACATCGGTGTCTATAAATGACAAACTCATCTCCTTCTAAAGTTATGTTATGTGAAAAGTTCTTTCATATCACAAACGAAGGTTACTCTCACAAGAAGAGGCCTTAGATTCATTATACGAAAGTATCCTCAAAAGGATATTTGTTGTACAATCATAAGTGAAGAAATTGAATTTGACAATGACAACGAGGCAGAGCTCTATGAAATTAATCAATGACTAGTCCATAGAAGCTAAACCTTTGCCAAAAGAGCTTGAAAATGGTGGACAAGCTGCTACAATGGATAAGATAAAATAAGTCAATTTATGGATGAAAGAGGATCATTGCCCAACCATTATTAATGCCCTTCTCCCTGAAGACCAAGTTGAAGAAATAAAAGAGCTCCTCTATGAATTTAGTTATTGCTTTAATTTGGCATATGCTAAAATGCCTAGCTTATCCTCTAATTTGATAGTTCATAGACTAGCTATTAAACTAGATGCAGTACCCACCAAACAAACTCCATGGATAATGAGATTGGAGATTGAAGAATAAATTATTACTAAGATGAATAAGCTTATAGATGCAGGAATCATTCATGAAAAAAAATATGCCAATTAGATCACCAACATTATCCCCATCATGAAGAATAATGGTTAAATTCATGTATGTATCGACTTTAGGGATCTTAATAAAACATGTCCAAAAGATGACTTTTACTTATATTGTTAGAGCTCTTAGTTGAAAACACGTGCAACTATAATGTGTTCTCTTTTATGGACGGATTGTTAGGATATAACCAGATCAAGATGAGTAATAAAGAAGAGAAGCATACATCATTTAGAACGCCCATTAATATATTCTATTATACGATCATGCCCTTCAACTTGAAGAATGCTAGTGCTACCTATCAGCAGAAAAAGACATGCATCTTTGATGAGCTGATTCATCAAAAGATCAAATGCTATGTGGGTGACCTTATCATTAAAAGCATAAACTGAAATGACTACCTGAATTACTTGAGAATTATATTTGAGAGGATTAAAAAAAATTGATATAAATATAAACCCACCCAAATGGGCTTTCAAGGTCTCCTCAATAACATTTTTAGGATATGTCATTCGCCATCTAGGAATTAAAATAAACCCCAACAAGATTAAGGTGATTATAGAGATGTCATCGCTAATGAACCTTTGACAACTTCACTCATTACAAGGGAAACTGACTTTCATTTGGTGATTCATATCAGATCTGTCAGGTAGATACTAGCCATTTTCAAAACTGATGAAGAAAGATGTCTGCTTCATATGTGATAAAGAGTTTCAAGAGGCCTTTGATAGGTTCAAGAAATTCTAGTTAGAAGTCATCCATGAACTGACATTTCTCTCAATTTAGCACCAAATTAGTTTCAACACATCTTTTTAAAATATCAATTTAAGTGTTCTTGACATGAATTAAACATAGTGCCAAATATAAAAAACCATCTATGAATTTGTCAATACCTTGCTCAATTAAGTTTGAAAAGATGGGCATGCATATTTGAAAACTAGCATGAGCATTATACAAACCTAAAGGCATTCTCCTAAAAGTAAAAGTTTTGTAGGGACGGGTAAAAGTAGTATTATCTTGATCCTCATGTACAATAAAATTTTGATGATAACTAGAATATCCATCCAAAATGTAATAAAATGCGAGCCATGCCAACCTATCAAGCATCTGATCAAGAAATAACAAAGGAAAATGATCTTTTATGGTTGCTTTATTTAGTTTACTATAGTCAATATAAATTCTCTAACCTGTTATAGTTCTAGTGGGTATTAATTTATTATGTTCATTGGATATAATAGTCAATCCTCCCTTCTTAGGAATATAATGAATGTGACTAACCTAATAACTATAAAAAAATTGGGTAGATAATCACATCATCATACCATTTAAGAATCTCTTTATTAACATCTTTCATGGAAGGATTAAGTCTTCTTTGAGGATCAGCTTTAGGTATAGAATTTTCTTCTATTAGGATTCTATGCATATAAATGATAGGATTAATTCCTTTAATGTTAATAATAGCCGCCCCCAAAAACAATTTTATAGCTATTTAAAACCTTTATTAGTTTAATTTCTTGATATTATTCTAGATTTACATAAATGATTATAGGAAGAGTGATAAAACTCCCTGGATCCTTAAGTTTTTCAAGAAAGTTCTTATATATAATACTAGATCCTAATTCACACAACACATAATTTTTTTCCAATAGTTAAAGAAATGATAAAACTCCCTGGATCCTTAAGTTTTTCAAGAAAGTTCTTATATATAATGGCACTACATTCCTCGGTTAATGCCACCAATTCATAATAAAAAATCTTCCTATTCTTACTCAAAATACCCTTCATGAATTTAGCATAAGTGGGCATTTTTTATAAGGTTTCAGAGAAGGGGATATTAATAATTAATTTTTTAAACACATCTAAGATTTTTGAAAATTATTTATCAAGATTTCTTTTGATCAACCTTTTAGGAAAAGGGGGTGGTGGTCTCTCAACAACCATTTTATAAACTTTTCAGGTTCTTGATTTCTTGTTGTTCCTTTCTATCATCCGTATCTTGGGGTTGATCTTTCTCTTTATAAGAGTTTTCCACTTCTAAGCTGGACATTATAACATTGTTCTACCAAATTTTGATACTAAATCAATCTAGCCAATTACCTTATTTGATCTTCAATTTTTTCAAGAGCATTAGATTTATTATTCATTTGAATATCTAACTAGAGAATAATATTTTTCGGTGATTCCTTCATATTCCTTTCAAGATATATTTATTCAAATTCTATAGAATAGCATTGTGGTACTACATATCATGGCGCCTTAGTGCTATTTCTCCTAAGATCATTATTAATCTTCAACTCATCTAATTTCTTAGAAATAGCAATAACTTGAGCAGTCAGAATAGATAATGAATCATTTTTATACACTCTTTACAATTTCTTAGGATTCACCCTATCATGAGGCCATTAGAACACTACAAGAAAATCACTTCATACTGACGATTTATTCCGACGGATATCATAAGCTTTTCGGTGGTTTTGTAAAATTTCGACAGTTTTGCGGCGGTTTAAAATCCACCAGTAAAAACCGCGTAGGAAACTGTTTCCGGCGGTTTATCGGCGGTCATGACACCGGTGACCACCAGTTATTTACCGGCGGCATACCGGTCGTTTAACTGCCGGTTATGTCAGATTTTTCAGCCACTATAACGCTGATATAGCGCCGGTACGAAACTGGTGGTTTAACGGCGGTCATGGCTGAAGGAATTACCGGCTGTGCCACTGCCTCCATATCGCCGAAGAACCATCAGAAAGCCGCTGGAATTTACCAGCGGTAATAGTAATCTTCCGGCGGCCTCCATCAGCCATTCGATATCGAAGTTTCTAACGGCCAAACCACCAGTTGGGCCGGAAACCTATAGCATCTAAAAAAAATTGACAGCATCCCATCTATTTTATTGATTTTCACCCTAAACTCTAAACCTACACATAAAATATAATAATTTTCACAAATATGGGCAATACACCACTATAATCAATCACAACAATTATCACAAATGTATTCATCAAAATATATCAACTCATAATAACTTCATAACAAACAATAAGTCAAACCAACTAAGTTCATCATAAGTTTACACATGAGTTCATCAAACCAAATAAGTTTACAATAGTCAATCATAAGTTCACTAGTGCATCCATCTACTTCTCCATAGAATCACCTATCTTTATAAACAGCCTTCCATCTACTCCTACGGGTGAAAATAAAAAAAAAAAACAAAAAGCAAAAAAACACAAACCTTGGCGTGCAGACGACGGATTAACGGAGGAGTTGGCGAGATCCTCGGCCTTGCTTTGATGCCGGATCTGGGTTAAGATCTTTGGCCGGAGGAAGCTTGTCGGCGGTCGGAGGAGCGTGTCGATCACTCGAGAGGGCGGAGGAGACGGGCCGACTATCGGAAGGGAGAGAGGGCGTTACGAGCAAATGAAATGGAAGGCTGTGGACGTTTGATTTTAGGGCTTATTTCGGCGGCGTTCTGGCTCTTATGACCGAAGAAACAAAATAACTTAAAACTGGCAGTTTAAACTGCCGGTAAAACGACGGTAATAAATGATGCCCGCAGAACAACCAACGGATATCCGGCGGTTATTTGACCCTGCTATTTAAGAAGTTGATTTTTTTAAAAACATCCGGTTAGACAATAGACCACCAGTAAATACCGACGGTCTAACCTCCAGTTAAACTGCCGTTAGTACCGACGGTCACATAATCGTCGGTCGGGACTGCAGGTATTTCATGAATTTTCTGTAGTGGAAATTATTTGTTTCCATTTATTTAATTAATTCATAAGCCTTTTCAAATAGTTTTTACATTAATGAACCTCCAACTACAACATAAATTATAGCTCTAAGGGATACTATATATCCATTATAAAAAGTTTGTATTACTAACCAATCAGGTAAGTCATGGTTAGGGTATTTCCTAAGTATTTACTTGAATTTCTCTCAACTCTCATAAATGAATTCTTTTCTAACTGAGTAAAAGAAGTAATGTAATTTCTAAGTTTGGTAGTCTTAGAAGGTGGGAAATACTTTTCTAAAAAATTATTGGTCAAATCATTCTATGTGGTAATAGAGCCTGGGGGTAAAGTGTTTAGCCACATTTTTTATTTATCTCTAAGAAAAAATAGGAACAACCTAAGTTTAATGACATCATCACTAACATCATTATACTTAAATATTGCAAAAATGTCTAAGAAACTTGTTAAATATAGAATATGATCTTTAATAGGAGTTACCTAAACATAGAATTCTATACCATCTGAATGATTGTAGGTTTTTTAGAAATTTAAAAATTCAAATTTATTAGCTTGGATGATAGATCTATTTATGCTTTGGTGAATTTCGTCTGTCATAGGATTTGTAAAATTCTTAAGAGATCTAGAATGATCTAAATCTTGACATTTTTAAAATCTTTTTATTATTGTTAATTTTAGAGAGGATTCTCTCAATTTTAGAATCAAAATTTAAACATGGCTCCTCTCTATGTTTTGGAAGCATGCAACCATAGATATGTAATTAACAAAAATAAAAAAAATAAAAAAAGATAGTATGACTAATTATTTAACTGATTCAACAATATAATAAAATTACAAATAAATAAATCTTCCCCGGCAATGGCTCCAAAAACTTGATCGAGCATGGAGTAACATGAAGAATTATAAAAATAATTTAGAGCTCTACCAATCTCTAAATAATACTTAGATTTTCTTTGATATAAAAATTGATAAAACCCCACTTAATATATATAAGTATACGTGCTGAATCAAGTAATATAATGATAGAGTAGAGTATTGATCCCACGAGAAAGAATGTTTACTTGTAAATATTAATATTGTCTACTAAAATTACAACAATTATCCCACCCAATAAAAATATGGTGGAGTTTTAATAAATTTTATAAAAAAAATCAATATCAAAATAACGGATGCACTTATATGAATAAAATACTTTGGATTGATGAAATGTAAATTAATATGTTTTATAATTATTCGCTTTTTAAAGTAATGTTATTCAGAGCATATATATCATCGACTGCTAATTCAAGCGTGAAGAGATAAAGGAATGGCCTGACTCATTCCACTCTCAATATCACTCTAAACTCCCATAACAATCACCATATAAAAATCTTAGAAAAGTAAGTAAAGCATGTACTATTAACTATCCCTTCATAATAATCTATCATTATAAATCTGACATATAATAACTACAATGTATATGCTTGCCTCATACTAATCCATCATACTTGATTGCGCCTTCTTTCCTAGTCTTAAGCTCCACATTACACCTACTATTAACTATATATATAACCACTATATGTATTAAATAAAGACCTAATATATTAAAAATATCATATCATCACTTTAAAGATTAAGAGAAATCATTAGTACTCTATTTTTAATTTACTTCATCAATTCAAAATTTGAGAATTTAGTCATGAAGAACAAATGAAGCACTTAGTTCTATTAATTGCATAAACAAAGGAAGTACAAAAGAAAATCTATCACCAGATGGTTCAACAATCTTCTATACAGTCCTCCTTGAACTTACACAATTACTTCCATAAATACTGATAAAACACTCTAATGAAGTAGATATAGTGTTCCCTGAATTTCCTTAGCTGTCACACCAAAGGAAATTTCAGAGAGACACTCTGAAGTCTGACTTTTTCTAAGTGAATGAACTCTCTTATAAATATTACAAACATGTTATTTTATAAAAAATGTAAAAAAAAAGATTCAGGTGTCATGGTGCTCGAGACACTTATACATAGTGCCCATAAAATAAACTAATGCCACAATGCTAAAGGGTTTTACATGCGCGTTTGTTGATATGGACCCATTGTTTAAGAATCGATGCGTCACTTTACTGGCACAACATGTCCTGAATGGTTCCAACTATAGCGCTACAGTGTTGCTGACGATTGATTTATGTGCCATCCACATGTCATTTCCTTGGCTTGGTTGCTCTAATTTTTGGCGATGCGATGTTGTTCAAATAGAGACTAGGCTTTGTAGAACTAACTCCTTGGGCGTTGTAGTGCTATCCATATAGAGACTAGACTTTGTGGTAATGACTCCTCCGATATTGTAGCGCTATCCAGATAGAGACTAGGTGCCATTAAATCCATATTTTGGTGCTTCAGCAGTGTCAATGATTGCACTGTGACGATATTATGTCCGATGTTGTACCACCACTTAAAATTTTTCCATTTCCTATATTTTTTTGCATAAATATAACTAAAACAACATATTTTCATAGAAAAATTAACACAAAATATAACATTATTTACACTTATCAACACCAAATTCATTGCACCCTACAGTTAAATCATCATTATTTGAATATTAAGGCATTGATATAATTATGATAATATATCTACAATCATCAGTTGGACACTACTTCATGCTGGTAGCAACCAACTACTTCTCCAAGTGGGCAGAAGCGACTCTATTTAAAGAAGTCACATATGAGCATGTGACAACTTCTTCACCTATAATGTTGTCTACATATTCAATGTATCACATCATATAATCTCAAATAATGGCACAACATTCAAGAACACCAAAATTTATAAAATTGTTTATTAATACAAAATTGATTGGTATTATTTCTCCATATATAACCTCAGAGTGAATGGTCTAGCAAAGGCCTTCAATAAGACACTGGCAAAACTACATAAGAAGATTCTCACTAAGAATAAAAGAGGGTGACATACTAAAATGGTAAAAGCACTATGGACATATCTACTACTTACAAGATGTTAACCAAAGCTACGCGTTATGCACAGCTGATTGAGGTTAAAGTGGTATTGCCATTGGAGATCAAACTACTGTCACTTCGGATAACTATAAAGTATGACCTCACTCAAGAATAAAATGCTCGTCTGAGAATAGAAAAGCTCAATGTGCTAAATAAAACCAAACTACAGGCTCAACATAATTTAGATATTTATCAAGCAAGGATGAAAAGATCTTTTGATAGGATGGTACACCACCGATCATTCCAAAAAAGAGAATTAGTCTTGGTGCTGAGAAGACCAATCATCCCACATCAAAATAATTGGTGGTAAGTTTATATCCAACTGGGAAGGTCCTTTCATCATTAAGAAGGTGTACCAGTAAAGAGTTTACCAGCTTTTTAATCTAAATGATCTGTGGGCTCTGAAAATTCGGCCCCAGCCTCCCCGCCGCGCATTTCTTTTTTTTTTTTCGGCGAGGGAGTTTTAACTGAATATGTTCCGGGGTAAATTTTGGAAGGCAGATGAGTTTGTAGATAAGACACTACCCAGAGATTTCGCCCTCATTTTGCGAGGACTTTATGATTTGAGTTCTGGTTTCTTATAGGCGCAAGCCCCTATAGTTAATTACCCCTCCTGATCAAGAGAGAGAACTTTTGATTAAGGCTAGTCGTAAATCAGACACGTAGAGAATACATATTATCCGGCATACAGTAGCAGCAATGGGCATAGGAATTTAAAAAGTTTGGATTTGGGAATTTGGAGAGTTTGATATTTAAAATAGAAATTGCACCATCTTGTACTTAAAGCGGATGGTTGGGGAATGGATGATGGGCCTGATCAAGATTCCATGGTTCCGTCATCCCGGGCTATCGTGGTCCCTGGTCTACTTAGTCAGAGGAGGTAGTCGACCCAACCTGACAGAAGGATCCTTGTCGGCAGCCATGGTTTGCTTCGTCCGAGAGGACCTTGTAGACCGGGGTGAATGTTTGTCTAAGGGGACAAATTTGAATCCACCTTAGCTAACACAAGGCTTTGTGCCCTATCGATCATATCCTATTGATTAATATCTCAAGGATTTGATGCCATTAAGGAGCGTATTGGCTCTGGCCATAACCGGTATTGCGTGGTGCCATTTGGCGGCAAAACCACTCGGTTCATAGGGCCCCGGGTCGTCATAACCGTTTATCCTACGGTGTCATTTGGTGGCAAACCGCCGGTTAGAAGACACGTACCACGTCCTTACTAGTAGGAGATTGTTTTGAGAATGGATCTTAGTTATATTTTCGACTAGGCATTTGGCTCTTTATGAGCTAAAGTAAATTTTAATTTGTCCATCTCAGCAAACTGTTGCGGAGGGTGGATGCATTTTGCTTTGAGTGATTGATGGTTTGATTTCGAATTTAAATATCTGGACATTTGGGATGGAATTTGGAGATTTTGGACTTTTGTACTTTTGAGAGGCATTTAAAAATGCCTAAAATTGACCCCTCCGGTTGAGATATTCAATCAACGCGGCCATCATCAAGGTGTTTTAGGGTCATTTCTGTTTGGTTGAACCTTGTCGACCCTATCAACTTACCGATAGGGGATCGGGTTTCTCGTAGGCTTTATGCCTTTGTTCATGAATTTTCTTTGTTGAATGCCTTGAAGGCTGAATATGAATGTACAAAATAAATATTCTGGTCAACTTCGTGACCGCATATTTATCCGATCGCTCGAACCTTGTCTACTCCTATTTATCTACTTAGGAGGATCACGTTTCATAGGCTTCATGCGTTTTGTTTAGTGAATTATTTTGATTGTAAGCCTTGAAGGCCTAATATGAATGTATTGAAATAAATACATCGGTTCCCACAACCATGTATTTTTTTGAAGGTTTGAACCCTGTCTACTTCTATTGATCCGTATAGAAGGATCAGGTTCGAACTAGAATTCACTTATCGACCAGCGCAGCATCCCTAGGCGTCACGTGTGTACCAATAACACACTCGCCAGGGCCCATGCGGGTCGGGATTATATTTTTCCCTTTAGTATACCTATGTGTATACAATTTATAGTGCACGTGCAGGGGTACTTCGAAATAATTGTAGTTGTACAGGCAACTGTCGTTTGAATGTACATAACTTTTCATTTAAGAGTTTATATACACTTTCTGTCCGCTAGTACGAATGTTGCGGATCCGGTGGCGATGTTATAATTTATGGACGCCTTCTGTCTGCTCGTATGAGTGTTGTAGATCCGGTGGCGTGGCGTTGTATTCTCTTG